GTGAGGGTGGTGGGTTGGCGATGGTAGTGGTAGTTGTGATGGTCATGAGGGTGGTGGTGAGGCGGTGGAGATAGTAGAAGTGATGGTAGGACAGTAGCGGTGGTGGTAAGGTGCGACAACAGTGGTGGTGGTGGAGCGGTGGAAGTGGCGATGGTGGTAATGGTAGTGGTGGGCGATTGTAATAATGATGATGGTGGTAGTGATAGTGGTGGGCAGTGGTGGTAGTGATTATGGTGGTGGTGGTGTAATGAAAGTGGTGATGGTGGTGATGGTAGTGGTGGTGGGTATGGTAGGGTGGCAAAAATGGTGATGGTGGTGGCGATAGTAATGGCGGTGGTGGAACGGTGGGGTAGGTGGTGATAGAGGTAGTGGAATGACAGTTTCAAACACAATTTTTTTTTTAAAATATTAGCAATGCACACGTGACGTGAAAAAAATTTAGTTTATTAATTTGTTATTAAATTTATTTGAAATACAAAGTTGATGAGTAATAAAATTGAATTATTTTTTGTAAAGGTAAGGGAATAATGAAAATATCAAGAAAAAAGACACTTAATTTTTTAACCTCAAAATTTGATAAATCTAAAAAACATGATACATATAAAAATACCCAAAAATATGGTACATAGTACATTAACATTTTTTTTTGGTGTGATACCTAACTTTAACTATTTTTTTAAAATCTTTTTTCTTATAGTTAGAATAACGAATTTTTGGAATATACAATTTTTGTTTATAATGCTATAATAGAATATGAGAAATGAAAAATTAAGTTTAATAAATTTGATTATAGAGTATTAATGTTTGAATCGATTCTAATTGCTCTTTTACAAAATTTAACAAATAGGTTCGAGGTTGTTTAATTNTCTCTCTCTCTCTCTCTCTCTCTCTCTCTCTCTCTCTCTCTCTCTCTCTCTCTCTCTCTCTCTCTCTCTTCTAACAAACAACTGAGAGTAGTGAAAAACCAAGCACCCTTTCCCCAATCCCCAATGCTTAGACTCTTCGCCCATTGAAACTCTCATTTGATTCTCGAGTTTTCCAACACTCAAAAACCCAAAATTCTTGAAAAAATAGAGAGAAATGAAACGAGACCACCCAAATCTTCGCTAAGAATATTTCCCTCGTGGAGTTGGCGTCACCAGTAGCTCCTCCGTAAACGGTGGCTCTAGTGGTGGCGCTGGTAATTTTCTGATGAATATTGTCTCTCTCTCACTCTGTCTCTCTGACCCAGCAATGTCACTGTCCCCCTCTCTCTTCTTCATCATCTCTCTCCATCAACTCCCCCCTCTCATTCTCTAAGCAACAACCTCATTGCCCCTTTCTCTCACCAACTTTCTACCACTATTGGCAACCCTCTCTCTATCTCTCTCTATAACCAATAAATCAACGATCCACTTTTCCCCAATTATCACTGTCACTGGGGCAACCATCTAAGCAACCATCACAGTCACGACCATACTACCCATTTACAGAGCACAAACTCAAACCCCCAATCACCCTAATCGAAGCAAAGATTATAAGAAGCAACTCATCAAAATTCGGGAGAAGAAATTCAGTGTCCCAGGGATAAACTAAATCCCTTGTTTTCCTTTGTTTCCTCTTGGTCTTCGTTGATCTCTGTTATTATTGGTGTCTTGCTTGGTTGACTGAACTTGGATTTAAAGTAGTGGCAATGGTGGTGGTGCACAGTAGGGTGGTAATTTAGTAGAGTGTGCAGAGCTTGTGGCAATTTGTGTTGTTGCATAGTAGGAATGGTGGAGGTAGTGGTGTTGCGTAGTCAGGTTGTTGAAGGTGGATTGGTGATGTTGTAGAAGGGTATCATTGTTTGGAGAAAAATATTGGAGTTAATTGTTCAGGAAGATGGAGATCGAGGAAGGGTATTATTGTACTTTTATTGTGCCTATTTTTGGAGGGAAACACGTTTTGTTATGTCAAACCTTCTGTTGGGCGCGTTTATGTCACGAATGGTCTAATCTAACGGAAAAACTAACGGTAGCATTTTAGTCCAAAAGTATAAGGGAGTAATGTGCTGATTTTCAAATCATAGGGGGGTCATGTGCAAAACACCCCTAAAATTTTTTTTTAAAAAAAGTATTGATGGAGATTTGAATTT